CTCATTCGGTCAAATACTTAAAAATCTGAGGGTGATTTTTTTGCCAAAACTCTGAAATTGACGACACAGAAAACTCATTTCACTCATTTTATTAAAACGTGCAAATGATTTGACACGTTACATAATCAATCAATTATTCAATCAATCAATAATCTATAATTAGTACAGAGCTCATCAGACAAAAGTTACAAAGAGAGCTTCATAAACAAAATCAACCCAAAACAAGAGAAATATTAAAGCAGAGTTTAGAAGGAAATAAAAACATAAATAATGACATTAAAAAGAGTCGACAGTAGCTCAGTTGGTAGAGCATTGGCCTTTGAGCCTGAAGGTCGTGGGTTCGAGCCCACCGTAAGACCTACTTCATGACTCCCACTGATGTCTGCTGTTGTTGTGTCCTTGGGCAAGACACTTAACCCCACTTTGCCTGAAGCCCCCACTGAAAGATCTCAGCTCCTGTGGACTCAGCACCTGCAGGAGGATCAGTGAGGGGCTGGTGCTCTGTGAACTGGGTGGCATCTCTGGCCACCCCCCCAACCCAGAAATGGATTAAGGGGAAGAAAATGGATGGATTAAAAAGAGTAAAGACACAATCCTTCAGTTTTAACCTGGATTTGAACATAGAAGAAGAAACCTGTCTCACATTTTCAGGAAGATCAGTCCCTGTGCAGAATTATGTGCAAAATTTCCAACATTTTGGAAAAACTAAATGTGATTGTCCCAATATAATGAGTCAATTGCATTAATCTCACTTTCAAATGACATAGACCCTAAAGTTGAACTTTGTGCAAACGGGGTAAAATTTAATATGGTCAAAAACGGCCAAAAAAACCTCACATTTTGCCGCTCCGCTGCTCGAACAATGTTTCACTGATTAAAAATCCCTGAAGTCATTTTGAAGGTACTTGTGTTGAGATGATGTGGAGCGATTCTGAGGCCAATCTGTGAAACGGCCAGACAGTTCCTCTGGTCCTCAGTCCAGACAGTTCCTCTGGTCCTCAGTCCAGACAGTTCCTCTGGTCCTCAGTCCTGACAGTTCCTCTGGTCCTCAGTCCAGACAGTTCCTCTGGTCCTCAGCCCTGACAGTTCCTCTGGTCCTCAGTCCAGACAGTTCTTCTGGTCCTCAGCCCTGACAGTTCCTCTGGTCCTCAGTCCAGACAGTTCCTCTGGTCCTCAGTCCTGACAGTTCCTCTGGTCCTCAGTCCAGACAGTTCCTCTGGTCCTCAGTCCAGACAGTTCCTCTGGTCCTCAGTCCAGACAGTTCCTCTGGTCCTCAGTCCAGACAGTTCCTCTGGTCCTCAGTCCTGACAGTTCCTCTGGTCCTCAGCCCTGACAGTTCCTCTGGTCCTCAGTCCAGACAGTTCCTCTGGTCCTCAGCCCAGACAGTTCCTCTGGTCCTCAGTCCTGACAGTTCCTCTGGTCCTCAGCCCAGACAGTTCCTCTGGTCCTCAGTCCTGACAGTTCCTCTGGTCCTCAGTCCAGACAGTTCCTCTGGTCCTCAGTCCAGACAGTTCCTCTGGTCCTCAGTCCAGACAGTTCCTCTGGTCCTCAGTCCTGACAGTTCCTCTGGTCCTCAGTCCTGACAGTTCCTCTGGTCCTCAGTCCAGACAGTTCCTCTGGTCCTCAGTCCAGACAGTTCCTCTGGTCCTCAGTCCAGACAGTTCCTCTGGTCCTCCGCCCTGACAGTTCCTCTGGTCCTCAGCCCAGACAGTTCCTCTGGTCCTCAGTCCAGACAGTTCCTCTGGTCCTCAGTCCAGACAGTTCCTCTGGTCCTCCGCCCTGACAGTTCCTCTGGTCCTCAGTCCTGACAGTTCCTCTGGTCCTCAGTCCAGACAGTTCCTCTGGTCCTCAGTCCTGACAGTTCCTCTGGTCCTCAGTCCTGACAGTTCCTCTGGTCCTCAGTCCTGACAGTTCCTCTGGTCCTCAGTCCAGACAGTTCCTCTGGTCCTCAGTCCAGACAGTTCCTCTGGTCCTCAGTCCAGACAGTTCCTCTGGTCCTCAGCCCTGACAGTTCCTCTGGTCCTCAGTCCTGACAGTTCCTCTGGTCCTCAGTCCTGACAGTTCCTCTGGTCCTCAGTCCTGACAGTTCCTCTGGTCCTCAGTCCAGACAGTTCCTCTGGTCCTCAGTCCTGACAGTTCCTCTGGTCCTCAGCCCTGACAGTTCCTCTGGTCCTCAGTCCTGATAGTTCCTCTGGTCCTCAGTCCTGACAGTTCCTCTGGTCCTCAGTCCTGACAGTTCCTCTGGTCCTCAGTCTTGACAGTTCCTCTGGTCCTCAGTCCAGACAGTTCCTCTGGTCCTCAGTCCAGACAGTTCCTCTGGTCCTCAGTCCTGACAGTTCCTCTGGTCCTCAGTCCAGACAGTTCCTCTGGTCCTCAGTCCAGACAGTTCCTCTGGTCCTCAGTCCAGACAGTTCCTCTGGTCCCCAGTCCAGACAGTTCCTCTGGTCCTCAGTCCTGAGAGTTCCTCTGGTCCTCAGTCTAGACAGTTCCTCTGGTCCTCAGCCCTGACAGTTCCTCTGGTCCTCAGCCCTGACAGTTCCTCTGGTCCTCAGTCCAGACAGTTCCTCTGGTCCTCAGTCCAGACAGTTCCTCTGGTCCTCAGTCCTGACAGTTCCTCTGGTCCTCAGTCCAGACAGTTCCTCTGGTCCTCAGCCCTGACAGTTTCTCTGGTCCTCAGTCCAGACAGTTCCTCTGGTCCTCAGTCCAGACAGTTCCTCTGGTCCTCAGCCCTGACAGTTCCTCTGGTCCCCAGTCCAGACAGTTCCTCTGGTCCTCAGTCCAGACAGTTCCTCTGGTCCTCAGCCCTGACAGTTCCTCTGGTCCCCAGTCCAGACAGTTCCTCTGGTCCTCAGCCCTGACAGTTCCTCTGGTCCTCAGCCCTGACAGTTCCTCTGGTCCTCAGTCCAGACAGTTCCTCTGGTCCTCAGTCCTGACAGTTCCTCTGGTCCTCAGTCCAGACAGTTCCTCTGGTCCTCAGCCCTGACAGTTTCTCTGGTCCTCAGTCCAGACAGTTCCTCTGGTCCTCAGTCCAGACAGTTCCTCTGGTCCTCAGTCCAGACAGTTCCTCTGGTCCTCAGCCCTGACAGTTCCTCTGGTCCCCAGTCCTGACAGTTCCTCTGGTCCTCAGTCCAGACAGTTCTTCTGGTCCTCAGCCCTGACAGTTCCTCTGGTCCTCAGTCCAGACAGTTCCTCTGATCCTCAGTCCTGACAGTTCCTCTGGTCCTCAGTCCAGACAATTCCTCTGGTCCTCAGTCCAGAAAGTTCCTCTGGTCCTCAGTCCAGACAGTTCCTCTGGTCCTCAGTCCAGACAGTTCCTCTGGTCCTCAGTCCTGACAGTTCCTCTGGTCCTCAGTCCTGACAGTTCCTCTGGTCCTCAGTCCTGACAGTTCTTCTGGTCCTCAGTCCAGACAGTTCCTCTGGTCCTCAGTCCAGTCAGTTCCTCTGGTCCTCAGCCCTGACAGTTCCTCTGGTCCTCAGTCCTGACAGTTCCTCTGGTCCTCAGTCCTGACAGTTCCTCTGGTCCTCAGTCCAGACAGTTCCTCTGGTCCTCAGTCCAGACAGTTCCTCTGGTCCTCAGTCCAGACAGTTCCTCTGGTCCTCAGCCCTGACAGTTCCTCTGGTCCTCAGTCCTGACAGTTCCTCTGGTCCTCAGTCCTGACAGTTCCTCTGGTCCTCAGTCCTGACAGTTCCTCTGGTCCTCAGTCCAGACAGTTCCTCTGGTCCTCAGTCCAGACAGTTCCTCTGGTCCTCAGTCCTGACAGTTCCTCTGGTCCTCAGTCCAGACAGTTCCTCTGGTCCTCAGTCCAGACAGTTCCTCTGGTCCCCAGTCCAGACAGTTCCTCTGGTCCTCAGTCCTGAGAGTTCCTCTGGTCCTCAGTCTAGACAGTTCCTCTGGTCCTCAGCCCTGACAGTTCCTCTGGTCCTCAGCCCTGACAGTTCCTCTGGTCCTCAGTCCAGACAGTTCCTCTGGTCCTCAGTCCAGACAGTTCCTCTGGTCCTCAGTCCTGACAGTTCCTCTGGTCCTCAGTCCAGACAGTTCCTCTGGTCCTCAGTCCAGACAGTTCCTCTGGTCCTCAGTCCAGACAGTTCCTCTGGTCCTCAGTCCAGACAGTTCCTCTGGTCCTCAGCCCTGACAGTTCCTCTGGTCCCCAGTCCAGACAGTTCCTCTGGTCCTCAGCCCTGACAGTTCCTCTGGTCCTCAGCCCTGACAGTTCCTCTGGTCCTCAGTCCAGACAGTTCCTCTGGTCCTCAGTCCTGACAGTTCCTCTGGTCCTCAGTCCAGACAGTTCCTCTGGTCCTCAGCCCTGACAGTTTCTCTGGTCCTCAGTCCAGACAGTTCCTCTGGTCCTCAGTCCAGACAGTTCCTCTGGTCCTCAGTCCAGACAGTTCCTCTGGTCCTCAGCCCTGACAGTTTCTCTGGTCCTCAGTCCAGACAGTTCCTCTGGTCCTCAGTCCAGACAGTTCCTCTGGTCCTCAGTCCAGACAGTTCCTCTGGTCCTCAGTCCAGACAGTTCCTCTGGTCCTCAGCCCTGACAGTTCCTCTGGTCCTCAGTCCAGACAGTTCTTCTGGTCCTCAGCCCTGACAGTTCCTCTGGTCCTCAGTCCAGACAGTTCCTCTGATCCTCAGTCCTGACAGTTCCTCTGGTCCTCAGTCCAGACAATTCCTCTGGTCCTCAGTCCAGACAGTTCCTCTGATCCTCAGTCCTGACAATTCCTCTGGTCCTCAGTCCAGACAGTTCCTCTGATCCTCAGTCCTGACAGTTCCTCTGGTCCTCAGTCCAGACAGTTCCTCTGGTCCTCAGTCCAGACAGTTCCTCTGGTCCTCAGTCCAGACAGTTCCTCTGGTCCTCAGTCCTGACAGTTCCTCTGGTCCTCAGTCCTGACAGTTCCTCTGGTCCTCAGTCCTGACAGTTCCTCTGGTCCTCAGTCCAGACAGTTCCTCTGGTCCTCAGTCCAGACAGTTCCTCTGGTCCTCAGCCCTGACAGTTTCTCTGGTCCTC